TGAACCAACTTGACCAGAGTAGATCTAGACTTACGTGTGTCCTTGGACAGACAGTCAGTCACGCAAGTCTGTCACAAGATCGATATTGTCATCCTTAATGATGGTGATAACATTAATCAGATAGATGAGTCCACGTCACAAACGTCAAACGATGGTGCCACCTACACCAAGTGGTGGTTCATAAGGTGAGGTCAGCAAATGCAAGATTGCATGTTTGAAGAGCTCAGTATTTATCAGGGTCTTGAGATGTGATCAGTAATGTAATTATGATGAGGTATGATTGCTTGCTTGGGACAGACTGATAATTCCTACTGACCACCATGACTAGGTATGATTGCTTGCTTGGGACAGACTGATTATTCCTTTTGACCACCATGACTAGGGAGGATTGCTTGCTTGGGACAGACAGATAATTCCTACTGACCACCATGACGAGGGATGATTGCTTGCTTGGGACAGACAGATAATTCCTTTTGACCACCATGACTAGGGATGATTGCTTGCTTGGGACAGACAGATAATACCAACTGACCCCCATGACTAGGGAGGACAGACTCGCTCCCACAGGCTGTGCATTTGTATGTCATATGGAACAAGACACCAAACCATGATTTGGGGTCCTTCAGACCATAACTAGGGATGATTTTGACTTGGGACAGATTGATAGTGTCTGGTTAGGGTAGACTTCCATGCCCAAGTCTTGACAGACCATGGCTAGTGCAGAGTTAACCTTGGTGGGTCAGACCGCATGAATCCAATGGACCATGACCAGGAATGAATTGAGCTTGGGGCAGACTCAACTCCCAACAGACCATGACCAGGGAGGACTTTTGGAACAAGACCAATGGACCACAGACCGTGGCTGTTGGTCACACAGAGAAGTGGATCTACAGGACTTAAGGCAGTAGTTGTAGGGCCAGGAAATACGGTATGTCGTCCACCGCCATGTCCTCACTGTACATCCTTAGGACAAGAGCAGGAAATAATCAACTGTGGTCATTACTGTCCAGTGACACATGCATGACAGCGAGGTCGTCTGGCCCAGCGGTCAGTCATGCAGGCTGTGGTATTTAGTCCTGATGGATGGTAAACTGAGAGGTGGGCTGGCCTTGAGGTCAACCTCACACCCACAGACAGCCCAGGTGGGAATTCTCGTTAACAGGTCCCCAATGTAAACATGACTAGTGTGTACTACACAATATGTACCAAGGTCATTGTTATGCCCTGTGTCTGTGCATGTCTTGACATATGTAAGGGGAAATTGCTGGTTTTCATTGTTACCTGATCCTCTGCTGAACAAAGATGGAGATTACGATTATTATCCGTACACAGATTTGTTACCTGAGGTATCAGCTGTGTGCTAATTAGAAGATAACTGATAAGGCTTGTTGAGCCTAATTTTGTGTAGCGGCCGTGAAATTTCTGAGTCCCGTGATGGGATTCGAACCACGGACCTTCTGACCGAGGTCGGACACCTTGTCCATGTGACCAAAGAGGTTAACCGCGTCAGCAAGCTGACAAGGTAAGGATGTCATCTGTTGGACGACTCCACGTCCTGCTACATTCGTGTAGTGTGCCATTCATTAGATGCAGAAAACTCAAACACAGAAGGTCATGTTCTGGATATGTTGACCGCATCCATTGTGTAGTGGATGGGGCATCTGCTCGGAGATCGAAAGGTCTGTGGTTCAATCACTGCTGGCTGTGTCATAGCAAAAGACAAGCTTGGCGCTTGCATTAAGGGGATAAAACCAGGACTGGTCAGCTTGAAGTCAGCATGATGTATCTGAGTGGGGTATCCATGTTAAACTGTGGTATGGTATCTCTGAGCACTGCCTGCCTGTTGGGAATGATAACTGGAATGCGAACAGATCCAATGGACGGGGAACAAACAAAGCCGCATTTTGAGCAGATAGTACCAGGATACCTGCAGTATATAAATATATAATATACTTACATTAAACCCCATTTCACCTCACCTGGTTTTGTAAGTACAGGGAAGTTGTGATATTATTGTACATTTGTTGCATTTCAACTGGAAGACCCACTATCTATATCAGTAGTAATGTAAATAGTTTTAGAATTATGATAAGATAAAGATATTACAGGCAAATCTTTTTCCTATAGTTTCTGATTGTAATTTTGAATTTTAATAATGCCTATGTGGACTGACTAGTCATCTTGACTTAACTCCTAATCCAACACTGTCCCAGCATATTTGCTTTTGTGGTCGTATTGTCGCAAGACATGCAGCCAGAAATCAGCCAGAAATCGGGGACAAGGATGCAGGGATAGAACCATCTGTGGTCTTGAAGCTGTTTTGTGATATTTTTATGCATCAAGTGTAACTATGTTCATTATGGATTGTGCCTTGACTATTCACCACCAAGCCACCTTAATATGGGTTAGAGGTATTTTTTAGGCCAATAAAATATTCAAAGTTTTAACTGTTGTATAACAAAATAAGAATACAGGATATAAATTTGAAAATATTTGTCAAGATTAGATAGTTTTGTTTTCCTTTTGTTACTTTAAATGTTTCCCCAAACTAAAAAAACATAATGTTCATTTGAACTATCCCTTTGTTACTGCAGAATTAAGTGTGGTGTGTCCTAAAAAGATAGTATTGGTCTAGTAATGTTATATAACTTGGCCAGCTGCAACTATCTAACCAGTGGTTCTAAGTATTCCATGCAGCACTTGTGAAGTCCCTCTGTGCTAGCTGTCCTGCTATCTCCCTCCTTCCTCTGTGGTATTACCATACAGTGTAGATGGCCTCTCAACCAGCTTCATTGATCTGGACTGAATCATCGGACAGCTTGGTCATTACTACATTGCCTTTGTTGCAAGCTGGTCAGCTCCGAGGAGAGGATCACTCCTCCGTATCCCATGCTCACACAACTCTTTCCTATTTTCCTGGAGATAATTGTGAATTTAAGAATTAAATATTTATATTATACTTAAATATCTGAGGTATCATTAAATATACATCTATTTTTATTAAACAATAATATCAAAATGATATGTGTATGAAACAGAGTACTTATGAAAAGTGGTGTGCATGTTATTATATTAATGCTGTATTTGTATCATTGATTGACACTATCATATATAATATAAAATTGCATTACCAGATGTATATATTTATGATTGGGGTATTCTGAATACAAATTCATTATGAAATCTGCAAATGTAATAAAATGGGGTGTGATAAAAATTCATGAATTGTGAATATTGAGAGTATGCGAAATTGTGACTTGTATTGAGTGAAAAGTGTTGGTGCAGGCTGGGTGCTTGGGCACCTCAATACATCATGTTGCTACTGCAATGTTGGAGGCGAGGGGTGTGTGCCATGAAGACTCCCACCCAACAAGCCACTTGCTGTCTTTCTCATGTAAATCCCATCCTGTCATAGCTGCACATGTGAAGCCAGAATACTCCAATCAATGTTGGTATCCCAAATACAGAGATGTGTTGATTCATAAATTTTCAATAAGCATTTGGATGGTTAGGAGCTATCCTGCCACCCCCTTGGTAATGAAGTGGACTGATCCAGGGCTGATGACTTGTTTTCTTCTGGAGACCAGTGTGTAGGGCCAGATACAGATCAGTAGTTGCTATGGCAACCGAACAATGTTGAGGTATTCCAAGGACTGATCTGGTGAAATTTTAAAAATCTCTAGAAATAACCAAAACTAACCACAGACCAAGAAATTGATTGTCAGTATTTTCGAGAGACAAGTTAAGTGGTCTGTTTTTCACACCCTATTATCAACCAGTCCAATATGAGTTGGGTGTTTACTGTTTTGATATAATTCTCTATAATGAATTCATTAATAATCCAAATTAAGAGTGTAGTACATTTGTTCTGTTGTATTCTCTGCATTGATATTACTGAAAGATTAATAAGACCATGTGAACTAATGGAGTAGATAATAGAAGATGATAATGGATAATATCACGCCTTTCTTTTGCAATAAAATATTCACAAAGAAAATATCAAATTGAAATGGAAGGACAAAAAGTTTATACAATCATGGATTATCTCAATTATATATTTAAGAACTGACTTCAGTATTTTTTCCTCTTGATCGGTGTGACTACTGTGTAAATCTGAATGAAAGAATTACAATGAAGTGTGCACACCAGGTTTTATGTTTATACCTCCAATAAACGCTAAAACATTTTGAGTAATTTCTTTTGAATAAATATGTCAACAATAATTTCATCAGGGACTGCTTATTTAATCATTGATATAAAAAAAACCTGTGTGGACCAATATGAAATCTGTGACATCATTCAGTGCAATAATGCATCACAAGCCCCACCCATTCTATTATCGACCAATCAGGAAATGGTATCTGTTAGTGGGTGTGGCTTAATCTTTTTGGAGTTTATGGAAACATAAACCCACAAAATATTGCTTGGTTGGCCAATCAAATCACAAGGAATCCCTTGCAGTACATTTATTGTCATATGTGCAAGACTATCCATTTAGTTGACCTATAATAAAAGGCAATTATTATTTTCTTGATTCAGCAATTGTGGGAATATTCCTCTTCTGTTTCATTTTTTAGGTTCATTTTCCAGTCAGTCTTGACTCGCCTCCATTGCCTTGGGGAGGATTTTTCAGCTTCGTATTAAATTTAGCAATTTCATGTTAGTTTAATTTTAGAGGTTGAATTCATTGTAACATATGAAGTATTGTGATACCAGTTGGACATTTGTTCGCCTATTTACTGTTGACTGTGATATTTTATGACATTTTAGTGATTTTTGATGCCACTTTTGTTTGCATATGGAGAGACTATGGATATTTTTCACGGCAAAAAGATTGCTGAGGTGGTGTTACGGAGAAAATTACTCCACTCATCACCTAAATAAAACAGGATTTTCTTTCAACCTTTTTAGATGGATTTTTGCAGCTTTGTAAATGCAAGACTTGTTTTAATTTTATTTTTCTATGTAATTCACTAATTATTCTGTTTCTATCTTTGCAGGGTTTTGTAAATTCAGGGTACAGTGTAAATGGTATAGCGCCGGTGAGTACAATTTAATTTTGTTACTTTTCTTGCAAAACATGACATTACATTTTAAACAGAACTGTTACATGTACACAGTCACATGAAGGTCCTTGGAAACACGGGGTTCATCGTACCACCTTGTATCAACTTGGGATGTCATGATACAACCATCCCCAGACGGATATCACAGTACTTAATTTGCAACACTTTTGCATGAATTTTTATATTTCATGGAGCATAAACATGAAGGCTGGGATGGATCCACATTTACTCCCCGGGTACTCGACCTACTATTACCTGCTGTAGGTCTCAAGAAAAGGGTATAAAACGCCTGATTGTTTTATATGTGGAACACTTCCCAATCTGGTGATGCATACACTGAAGTTCTTGATTCAAACACATGAATGTCAGAAGGAATGCATGTATAGTAAAGAAAAGTGAACATTAGTGACTAGTAGTGCCACCATGGAGTTAGTGATTTCTTTACATTAAGCACTATATCAAGTTACTAAATATGGGTCCGAGTAGTCCTGTGGGTATCCGGGTCCTCCTCAGTACCCACCTGATCTGAGTACCCAAGTATCCCGTCCCAGGCATAATAAACACTATTAAAAGGCTTGAAACTTCCTGAAAATCTGGAATCATATTCCAAAATGAAAATGTCTCATCGCAATCAATACTTTATTTCAGATAAAACCTGAGTGTCAGCATCAGTTAGAAAAAAGACTAAAATAGATTTTAGGTCTTAAAACTATGTAGATTGTAAAATGTAGATATAGCATAAATTAATAATGATAATATTGATCATTAAAATGTAGGTAGGACCCATTTTGCCAACAAATTCATTCCACTGCTGTTTTAAATGTTCCATGTGTGAAACTTCATGGAATTAAAATGTGAATTGATATGGGAATAACATATGAATTGATGCAGGTAAGTGTGTATCGCGTATCGTATGGTTATTGATTGAAGTGTGAAGAGTAACGAGGTGGCATCATGGTTAGTGTGTTGGCAAGCTGTCCATAACATAACAACTCAGTTGCCCGACTTAACACGTTTTGCCATCATTTACTGTGATTCGACCTGTGCCATAACATCATGAATCCTTTCCATGTTAAATGGCAAAGCAAGCGGCCCATTGGTTAAGGTACCACACCTCGCTTTGCAGAGTTGTGTCCCTTATCTGTTGGTCACGGGTTCAAATCCCATATTCTCCCCTCTTTTGCTCCATGGGTTTCGGATCGTGTGGATTTCACCATAGTGGCAAACATCTATGACCCACGACCAACATTACTTGTGATGTGATATGACTGAAATACTGTTCAACATGTTCCTCTCACTCACTGTTTCTGTCAATAAGACTTTTAAACCCGCATTTCAGGTAATTACACACCTGAAAGCTCTGGCAAGTTCACTGTATGTTTGATCCTGTGTTCTCTGAGTTGACTCTACACAAGAAAAAGTCCTCTATTTCTGTTGCATTAGGCAGTGAAAAATGGAGATTGGCCACGATGGCTAATTGATTTGTTGGTCATCAGTATCACGGCCCATGCTCTTCTTATTAACCGCTGGTGTGTCAGGTCCAGATTCAGCTGCCTTCAAGCCATTGAAATACAGTAGACTACGGTTATAACGAACACACTTATAACGAACTGACGGATAAAACGAACTTACTTTTTGGTCCCGACTACTTGCTGTAGTCATGCTGTATATGTACTTATAACGAACTACGGTTATAACGAACTAAAATTAGTAGTCCCTTTGAGTTTGTTATTACCGTAGTTTACTGTATAGCTATAATACTGAATCTCGTGGTATTGAGAAGGGTTCTGCCTGTGTGGCTTGTAGCTTGAGAATAGATCACCATGGATAGATACTCTGTTGGTTGAAGGTTCTCACGGGATGGTTCGTTGGTTGAAGGTTCTCACGGGATGGTTCGTTGGTTGAAGGTTCTCACGGAATGGTTCGTTGGTTGAAGGTTCTCACAGGATGGTTTGTTGGTTGAAGGTTCTCATAGGATGGTTTGTTGGTTGAAGGTTCTCACGGGATGGTTTGTTGGTTGAAGGTTCTCATAGGATGGTTTGTTGGTTGAAGGTTCTCACGGGATGGTTTGTTGGTTGAAGGTTCTCACGGGATGGTTCGTTGGTTGAAGGTTCTCACGGGATGGTTTGTTGGTTGAAGGTTCTCATAGGATGGTTTGTTGGTTGAAGGTTCTCACGGGATGGTTTGTTGGTTGAAGGTTCTCACGGGATGGTTCGTTGGTTGAAGGTTCTCACGGGATGGTTTGTTGGTTGAAGGTTCTCACGGGATGGTTTGTTGGTTGAAGGTTGTCACGGGATGGTTTGTTGGTTGAGGAAGATTTCCATGCCCAGCTTGCTACTTGAGAAGGGTTGTCCTAGCTACCTCTTAGTGTTCTACAGTATTGTATTGCACGGTGTCCTCCTTTTATGTCTAACAAACTTTTCCACACTGGAGCATCTTCTGTTAGTCTGTCATGCTCTCGCTTGCCTTCATTCTGGTCTTCATTCAGGGGCGGTCGGGTAACCTAGTGGTTAAAGAGAACGTTCTACATGCCGAAGTCCTGGGTTTGATTCCCCCCATGGGTACAATGTGTGGAGCCCATTTCTGGTTTCCCCTGGCGTAATATTGCTGGAATATTGCTAAAAGCGGCATAAAACCATACTCACTCACTGGTCTTCATTCAAGTGTTGCTGGCTGTGCCACTTCATATTACTACCTCCCTCCATGGAGAATTTTCTCTCATGAACTGCCTCTTGGTAGTCAACTCTTAGTGCCAATATCGCCCACCACCAACTAGTAGTGCTGGTCTTAAAGCTTCATCAGTTTTCTTCTAGCCACCTCTGTCTTTGTGAATTGTTTAGAAAATCATTATGATTAGGTACTCCCAACTGATCGATCATCGAAGCTCAAGTCAAACTAGATCACTCATAACAAAAACAAACACAAATGCTCACTTCAGCACTTTTAAAAAGGAAACTGGCCTCACTCTTTCTCACTGAAGTAAGTTTTGTTTCCTGAGATGCTTAATGTACTACTATGTCAGGCTGAGAAGGCAAAGTCATTTGTGTTCGATTATGGAAAATTGTGTTCGATTGCTTTGTCGTTTGGATCTTCGATTATTTCAATTAATTGGAACACTACTAACGATCTCTTTGTTCTTGTTCTGCTGGTCTTGAAGTGTCCATCGTCTAGTTCATCCTTCCCGAAGTTGTAGTGTTGCTGGTCTCTCCAATGGAGAAGCTGTCTGTAGGGGCCCATCTAGGTCTTGTTCTGCTGGGTGTAGTGGCTGCTGACAGACACTTAAAGATGCCTAGTCTTGCTCTCCACCGTCCTTCACTCTACTTAGTCAGATAGGCAACATGATACACCTACAGCAAAAGCTGAGGATTTGTTTGTTTTCATATTGTCTTCTAAACATGTTTGAGTCAGAAGTTAAAAGTGAGTATTATTTCTGATTATCGTACCGGATAAAGAGCAGTTGTGTCTTGTTATACAGTGATTTTTGGTATAGAACCACAGTTGTAAATTTCCTTTTGTGTTGGTAATTAGTAGATTGCTAACTGCAGTAGAAACATTAGATATAGATGTCAGTTATTAAACATAAATCTTCAGTGGCATTAAAATCCAGTTATCTTCCAAATTTTGGTTTTTGATGTCGGGCATGTTTTGGGGGCTTGAATGTTAGACCGTAAATTGATCGCCTTTGTATTTTCACAAGTCGTGCTTTGTATTTTCCCATGTCGTGGGACAAGGCCGATACTCCGTGTCTTGTCCTTGCTGTCCCACCTGAGGTGCAGCCGGTGACCATAAACAACCCTTATGTGACCTGCATTATTATCACACTGAGGTCATTGAGGGGGGAGGGGGAAAGGCAATATGTCAATTTATTCTGTCAAATTTAAAAAACCCTTGAAAGTGCATATTTATTTATCCTTACTGTTGTACTAAAGCATTATGTCATGTATCTGCTATATATAGCAGGTATCTTTGTGTTGCAAGGCTGTGGAGAGGCCCAAAGGTCATATGTATAGAGAGACAGAGAAGTCAGCTTGTTTACACTCCCCTGCCAGCACAATACAGCACCCCCTCGTTATACCAGCACTACAGGGAAACATTCAACCAGGGATTAAATCCTGTATCATCACAGCAATTCTGTGGTCCCCCTTATGAACATATTTCGGTAGAATATGTGCAAGTTGTTGTTGCTTTTGGAGAGAGTTTGTAGGTTTACTGTTGTCAAGTGGTTATACCGGGGTCAGCTGGCATTCCTTAGCAAGACCAAATCATGCTGTTTGGCCTGGGAGGTGAAATTTTAATTTTGTTTGAGGAAATTTTTTATCTTAGTTTTAAACAGGAAGTATGTCATTATGGCCACAGACGGACCTTGAGTTAACATCAGACTTTCACTGGCCACAGTTTCATACGAAATTGAACCAGCCTCTTTGGCAGGAAATTTTAGATGTCCCAATACCAGTGAAAATGAAAACTGTGAAGTGATGTATGTTGTCTTGTCCAGTTTATTTGCTGAGGACAGACTTTTTATTGGAATAAATTGGTGAAATGGTATGCTGAATTGGTTCAAGGATAGAGTAAGCAGGCTCTTTGCTATATACAATATCAGGAAAAGGTTTTGATTGGTTGAAGGAAATCATATATTAAAGAATTCTTCAGACTGATTTTCCTTTGGGAACATATCCTTTCAGATTTAAAGAATGACTTGGGTTAAAATATTTCAATTAATCAAATAAAACATTATGGGATTGATATTCCAGTAGAATGTCGATGTTTTATCGGGAAACATTTTTACTGGATTGTGGTTATAATTATAACCACAAGATTTCTTTAAAGGACTGAATTTCCAGAGGGAATATAATGTCTTGATATGTTGTGATTTTTGTGGTGAAAGTTGCTTTCCGGTTGTTATTGATCTGAGATTATTTGCTGTAGATTGTTGTGTGTCATCGCACACTGACTGACACGAGACAGGAGGCGGGTGG